AACGGTTCAAGGACCAGAGCTGATCCCTATCTAATAAAGTGAAAAAGGCCTTTCATTGCGTTGTCAAAGTTCAAAGTTGGAGATTTCAATAAGGGGCCTTACAGAGATTGACTCACTTCTGGAGCCAGTCTCAAGTGGCCAGTATAGGCACTGCAGTTACCTAAGGGTGGTAAGGATCTACCTTCTCTAGAGTTTGGTAGAAGTGTATTCCAAGGTGTGTCAGTGCTATGTGACGGTACTGCTCGGCGTGTTTATAGTTCTGATTTCTCCTGCTTTTTCTTTACAGACCTTTCCAAGAAAGTTTTTACCTTCCCGCTGGACAAGGGGACAGCTACAGTTAGGCTCACTGCCAGCGTTGAGCAGCCCATCACAGCTTTGACTGTGTGCATGAGATTTTACTCCACAGAGACCAGACCCCAGTCTCTGTTCTCTCTGGCAATCCCGTCTCAGTCCAATGCCTTCCTGCTCTACAAGCCCTCTGTGGGTGTATACAGGCTGCACATCAAGGGGACGGCTCTTGATATCAAAGGGCTGCCCGATAACACAGACGAATGGAACTCTGTTTGCTGGACGTGGGACTCCTCCAGCGGCTTGACCACACTGTGGGTCAACGAGAAGCGAAGTGCAAGGAAAATTCTGGAGCGCAGAACCACTCTCACCGGCCTACCCAGTATAATTCTGGGTCAAGATCAAGACAGTTATGGTGGAGGCTTTGACCCAAATCAGTCCTTTGTAGGGGACATCACAGATGTCCACCTCTGGGACAGCGTCATCATGCCCTGTGAAATTAGGTTCTACATGGAGGGTTATGCATTCACTCCTGGAAACCTTCTCAACTGGAAAAACCTGCAATACTCCACCAATGGCTCTGTGTACGTGGAGAGGAGTGACTTTGATAAACTCACGTGCTATTAGACTGCAAAACAGTCAGCTGTGAGGTTTCAAAGTAAAACCAGATGTCTAAACAAATAAATGTGGTTTTTGCAGGATTAAAATAAAAAAATCTGTGTTAAATCATTTCAATCAGGAGAGAATTCATTCTGAATGAAAAAATAAACATACTATATTATTCATAAATGAGGATTTTTTTTATGAGGTCTCTCATGACATTTCACATCCATCTCATTAGCAAGTTTCATAATAGCCTCGTTATGGATGATCTGCACAGAGAGCAGGATCACACAAACATTATAAACATACAGTATATAACAAGCTGACCAAAGACACATGAACTGAAACAATGTTTTTGTAATAATAGAATTCATCCAAACTAATTTATTGTATGTGTGAACTGGAAGGACTTTAAATTGACAATTGTGTTAATTTGGAAGCCGAGTGTGTAACATTGAAGAGGATCAGTGTAAACAAGATTAAGGTAACAAAAACACAATTCTTTTATTTAGCTGATTTTACCCTAATGAAAAACATACCTATGATTATTATATTCCATTTCTGATTTTCCATTTTCATTTTCCTCCTAAATCACACACACTGAACCTTTGAAAATGCCTGTAGTTGCACCAAAACATCAGTTCAGACACTCAATAATACACTCCTACAACTACTACTACAACACATTACAAATCAATGACAATAAACCACAATGGCACATGATTATTTAGAAAAAGGTTTATTTTCAAGTCCCGAATCCCAACATCCACCAAATTGTAACACAAGATGGAAGTTCCCAAACAGGCCACAGACTGTACAGACACTAGCAAACACAACAACACACAGTGGCAGCAAGCTAGAAAACGGAATTACATTGAAGATAAACATTACAATACATTAAGTTGATTTGAGGACAAACACGAAGTCCAGGCGTACAAAGGAACTGTATAATCAAGAACATCAAATAACTGCTGGTGTGAGCATCAAAGTGCTTGTTCGCTTTTGCTTTAGTACACCATCAAAGTTTGTGTTTCAGCTTTAATTTAACAATCTAACAAAAAGGCAAGAGTAGCATGAGAGTTAGAAAACTGTCCTATCTACACTGGAGACATTTGGTTTATATGGACTCATCTACCTGCATTTCACAGTGACTTTTCCTGAGGTTAACCGTGTGAACTTTCATTGTGGGTGAGTTTTGGGAAAGGTATTGGCAGTACTGTCCCTTAACAATCCACGAGGCACAAGCAGATCTATAGAGCCCCGGTATCTCTAGACAAAAGACACATTTACTGAAGGTTTATTATTTCAAGATTGCTAAGAATCTAGAAAAAAAAACTTTGTATATATGCAGAGCAAGGTTCAGCCTGGTCCTGAATGCATCACATCTGACAGAATGGTTGCAGTTGCAGAAGCAGTGTTGAACACTTGTGACTGAAAGAAGTATGTACAGTGTGAGGTAAGTGAATTCTCCCAAAGGAATGTAGCGAGTAGCTTGTGACACAGCACATACTG